CATTGTGTTAGAAGTTTTAGCCAGTAAAATAAGGGTAAAAGAGTAAATAAAAATGATAGACGAAAGAAAGTATACTCGTTTGCAGAAGACATTATGGCTGTGGTAGACTGAAGAGTGCTCCCCATGAAGGATATCCGTGTCCTCATACCTATGTGAGTGTTCCTTTAAGTGTCAAAAAGGAGTTTGCAAATGTGATCTAATTTTGTTCTTGAGATGGGAGATTATTCTGTATAATCTGGTAAATGTGATATAACCCCAAGGGTCCTTATAAGAAGTCTACAGGTAGAGTTAGAGTCACATGGAAGTTGGTGATGTGATGGAAGCAGAGGGACCGAGATAAAGAGGTTTTAAGGTGCTACCTTGCTGGCTTTGAAGGCGGAGGAAGGGGACCATGAGGCAAGGCTGTAAGTGGTCCTTGTAACCCTGGAATGGTAAGGAAACAAATTCTGACCAAGAGTATCCAAAAGGAACACAGTGCTGTGGATCTATCTTACACTTCTGGACTCCAGAATTGTAAGAGAATAAATTGAGCCACTCAGTTTCTGGTAATTTGTTACAGCAGCAACAGGAAATTTAATGAAATGGTGTATGTAGAAAATAAATCTACATAAATGTCTAGAAAAAGTAAAATTTGCAAGGTGTCAGAATATAAGAACAATATACAAAAATCTATTTCATTTCTATATACTAGCAATTTACACATGGAAACTGAAATTTAAAATATAATACCATGTATGATTGCTCAAAAAAGAAAAAGTAGAAGAAATATGTGTAAATCGAACAAAACATGGATGGGACTTTTATGCTGAAAACTACAAAATGTTGAGGAAAGAAATCAAAGATGACCTAAATAGAGAAAGATAGCATATTCATTGATTGGAAGACACAACATAGAAATGATGTCAAATCACCCCAAATTGGCATACAGGCTTAATGCATTTCCTATCAAGAATTTTTGTAGATACAAACAAAATTCTAAAATTGACATGGAAATGTAAAGGAACCAGAAGTGCTAAAATATCTGAAAAATAATAAGGTTGTTGGAATCACTCCCTATGATCTCAAGATTTCTAATATAGTAACAGCAATCAAGACTGTGGTATTGTTGGAGTGGCAGACACATAGATCACTGGAACAGAACAGAGAAACCAAAAATAGCCCCACACCGGTACTTCCAACTGATTTTTGACTAAGGTACCAAGGCGATTCAATGAAGGAAGGATTTTCAAAAACGTGCTGAACCAACGGAGTAACCATAGTAGAAAAAAATGAATAAAACAGTCTCCACCTAAACTTCATACCTGTACAAATATTACCTCAAAATTTATCATAGCTTTAAATGGAAAACTTTTATAAAACTTTATAAGATATTTAGGACAAAACCATAGAATAAAGTCTTCAGGATCTAGGGCTTGGTGAAGAATTCTTAGACATGGCACTAGAAGCATGACCCAAGAAAAAAAATTGATAAACTAGACTTCAACAAAATTAAAACCTGTTAGTGTGTGAAAAACCATGTTAAGTGGATGAAAAGAAAAGCTACAGAATAGCAGAAAATATTTGCATACCGTATATCTGCCAAGGGACTGATGTTTAAATTGTATAAAGAATTCTACAACCACGACAGTAAAAAACAAAAACAAAAAAAACCTTGAATTAGAAAATGGGCAAAATCATGGAGAGACATTCACTGAAGCAGATATACAGACAGAAAATTGGCAAAAAATGTTTTCAACATCACTCCATCAACTGTCAGACCTTAGCATTTTCTGCTTCCTCCAGGTGAAGCCTGTCTGCCTTCAGGGGTCATGGAAAAAGAACAGTCTCTACCCAACACTCCAAAGTGTCTCTTCGGTGATGTTCATTAGGATCTTGTAATTGTGGGAATTCACAATGGGACCAAAGTGTTTCAGAAGTCTCAGCTTACAAGTGTGCACTGTCTTTATCACTACAGTTGAATTGATCGTTGCAAGTCTGTGAGAAGATGTGTAAGAATCACAAACGTATCGCAGAGACCGGCCGTCTTCTCCCCCCACACATACTGGTGCACAACACCAAGCCCACAGTCCTGGTAGCAGGAAGGAATCAGATGAGTCTTTTCCTATTTCAGTCTGAGAGGCAGAGTCTGTAAGGGAAAGAGGTGTATGAGAATTGGGGTAGGAGCTCACATCTCAAAAAAGGCTTCCTCTGGGATAGAAACTAATCAATGGCAAAGTCATAGAAAAGGGAGTAATAATTCCTGAGAAATGGAATGATTTTCTGGAGATAAATTACAGATCCTAAACACCACACTAATCCCTGATTGCTGCTAATATAATTTGATGTAATCCTTACTGTTGGTGGTTGTTGATGTGTTATATCTGTAGCATTTAATCAGGTATTAACTTTTTCTGTGGTTTTAACTGATTTGCCTGACATGGAAGAGCCTGTGACATTCTTTTCAGGGTAATAGAGTAGTTGCATATAGTAGTTGCATTCCATGCATATAATGATTTTTAAAAATGGAACTAATACAATAGTCTAATTATATAGAGAAACTATGCGTCAGTGAAAATGGGTAAAATATGTGACTTTTCTTTAATCCTGGACATAGAATGTGCTTAGTGGACGCAGTAATGGTATCTAGAAAGGAAACGTTGATGGTCTATTGACTATGATAAGAATAATTTCCCTCTTGAATTTAAAGGAGGAGCTTTTTAGAAGTTAATGTTATTAATGTGGGTTTCATACCAAGGCTGGGGTAGGGGAGGACAGGTACTTCAACAATGTCTACCTTTCAAATATATGTGATATTTTTCTTTTTCAGTTGAAAATATTTTGAAGGGGCTAATAGAAATGTTCTAAAACTAAATTGTGGGAATGATTTCCCAACTTTGTAAATATACTAAGAATCATTGAATTCTATATTTAAAATGAAACAGTTTTATGGTATGTAAATTATATCTCAATAAACTTGTTTATTTTTAAAATTCAGTGTCACCCCTAGACTCGCTACAAATCTTCATTTATCTTCATTTCAGTTTATTTAATGTACATATTTCCATAGTTTTAGATCAATTTTACGTCTTTTGAGTCTTTCAAAAATTATTACATTTTTTCTCATAGTTTGTTAGTAGCCCTCCATTAATAAACACATAATTTCATGATCTGTAAATAAAAATAATTTAGTCTGTACCCCAAAGTGTTTTATCTTTTACTCATGTTGTAGTTCTATACCTCAGCTGGCCACAATATTGTGCAATTATTTCAGTAGTGGTTATCACTTGACTCTTTTTCCTGCCTAAAGAGAAACATGTCTTCTGTATCCATCAGAATAGTGAACCATTCTTGCCTCAATGAATCCAATTTCATCTTGCATAATCTGTCTTGTAGGATTGTGTGGTCATCAGTGGTTCTACAACTTATTTAAATATTCATTCATTGGTAATATTGGCCTATGAAATAAAAGTATAGACGTAATAGAAAGTTACCATAACTACAATTATATATGAAGATAATCAATTTAAAAATGACAAGAGATACTCATAAAATTAAGTCCAGATGTTGAGTAGTTGAAGGATAGAAATAATTTGCCTTGTTAGTGTAGCACCATGGTTAAGAAACTTGTCTTTGCAGCCAGACAACATGGATTCAAATCCTGATTCAGCCACTTGCTGGGATGTGATTGAATGAGTCTTTAAACCTGTCTTTGTCCTAAGTTCTTTCATCTGTGAAATGAGACTAACATCAGTACTTACTTCAACTCTCACTGAAGATTCAATCAGTTATTATATGTAAAGCATTAATAACAGTGACTCTTACTCTACTGTGATATGAGATAATATATATCAAAATTAAGATCCCTTATTAAAGGAAAATATATTTATTATTTTGGGATGGGAAGCCTTTCTAAGTGGAGGATATTGGGTGTCAGTTCCCATGGTAAAAGTAGCACGAATCTCATTTTCCTTGTAAGATCCTCTGGCTCTGAACATGAATAGCAGTCACTGGGAAATGGCAGAACAGCCTCCGGGCATTTGAGAATGGAGATTATCTCCTTGTCACAAACTATAGTCAGAATCTTTGGGACTTTCTATCTTATTCATCATTATACTTTCATTTCCTTCACTGCCTGCTTGTTAACCTCCACACACTTGATTTTCAAGTACCTGACCACAGCTAGCTCTCACATTAAGAGATTTCATGCCATATCTCAATTATATCTCAATAAAACTGGAAAAAAAATCAGACAAAATTACCCAGAACTTACACAGTAAAATGATCAAATTTTTTTTTAAAAATTAAAAAATAGATTTCAGTTCACCACCTTGTGTCATTCCAGTTCTTTTATTGAACTAAAGACCCAAAGGAACTCTTTTTCTTTGTATTTATAGAGCAGCTACTTTGTACTTGTCATTACCTTATGTGCATTTTCATGTCACAAAAATCTCAAAAAAACTCATTGATTTATGTATCCTTTGGTGTAAAACAGGGAAAAAATGTAATATATAATCTGGGTCAGAATATGTGGAAGGAAAAAATTTTTTAAATTATATTAAAAACAAAAATTTTACTACAGTTAAGTATAATAATATAGTAATAGAATATTTAGATCAGAAATGAATTCCTGCTTATGAGAAGAAAGGAACATGATGTACTGTGGCCTTCCCAGAATCTCAGCTCTTTGTTCACCTGAGTAGGACATTACAGATGGGTCTAGAAAATATTTCATAAGTTCATCCACTGCTTGACTCCTTCAGACTATAGGGAACAGTATAATATGCAGATAACTAGCTCTCTTCCCAGAACTACTGAATCAAAAGCACAGGGGTAGAAAACAGGGAATTGAATAGTTTAAAAGTTTGCCATAGGATTTTATAAATACTTAAACTTGGGAATAACCCCTGATGTTTCATGAAGTGCACAGATCATCTAAAGAAAGGGCAAGTTTACAGTCCAGATGCCACACCATGAAGCTTTTGCTTTCTGAGTCAAAAGAGCTTTGATCTCGGTCAGCCAACTGAAGAGCTCCCCAGAGGTGAACAAGGGAAAATGTGAAGATACACAGAGCAGATCCTGACTTCTGGAGGGAAGTTATTCTTAGAGCAGAGGAACAAGGTTCCTGTAGTTCTCCAACATCATGTCCCTGTACAAGGCCCTCTGAGCAGGGTCCAGGCATTCCCACTCCTCCTGAGAGAATTCTATTGTCACATCCTGAATGTCAACCATCCCTGAAATGAAATACACATTTCACAAAAGGGACTGTGGGGAGTGTTCACATAAAATGAGAAGAGGAGAGAGGTATAAGGATGGATCTGGTTGAAGTGATTGTTCTGACAGATCCACTTAAAGGTATTTTAAGCAAGTAATGGTTCTCTGATTTTATTTCTTATGCTTTTCCATAAGATATTATATCTTCTAAATCAACATAGGTTTCTCTTTTTTGTGGACAATACATGGAATATAAATAAAAATTCATCACCGGATTGTGTATACAGAAGTGTTAGATATCATGTTCTACACCCTGAGTGATGTTCAATATTTAGATTACCTACAGCCATGAGTGGTGTCTTCAGAGATGACAAAGTCCACAGTGGCTTTAAGGAAAGGTTAGAATCTTAACATTGTGATGATGATAACAATAACACTGACAAAGGTTTTGAACATTTCCTATATACTAAGCATTACTCTAAGTGCTTTACATGTATTAACTTGTTATTAATGTAATAGCTCATCAGAGAAAGATCTGTTCCCACTTACAGAGGAGCAAACTAAGTCACAGACCCTCTAAGAAACTTCCCTCAGATCAAACAGATAAGAAAAGACACAGCAAGCACCTGAACTCAAGTGGTCAGGCTTTAGGATTGAACCTAGAGAATCAAACAGTTAATAACAGAGCATTAGAAATACATTGACAGAGAGTTCCCTGAGAAAACTTGAAACAAGTTCAAGGTTAGCAACATGGAACTGCGTAAAAGATCATTTTATATGCAAACACATGCACATGTGTTACTACTCTTACTACTATTTAAATCATTAACATGAAAGTGTGGAAAAAATTTAAGGCCATGGAATATATTTAAGATATAATTTCAAAAGCTAAAAATATAAAACTTAATAAAGAAATAATGATGTCTTATAAAAATTATGGACTTGCACACCCATGCACTCATGTACACATGAACACACAAATTATCCGAAAGGAGAGGAATTATCTCTTGATAACATATTTTTGTTATCAAGATTTTTTCATTATCATTTTTATTCATGAGTATCTCAGCATCTTTGGGACAATCAAAATGTATCAATTCTACTTCATTTAGTTTGTCAACATAATTCTATAGTAGTAGTAGCAGCATAGTATAGTAGTAGAACGATAGTAAGGTACCAAAAAAAATGGTAGAAAACATGCAAAAAAGTATGGAATACTTTAACTCCAATCTCTCTGAAATACCTGTATTTAAAAATATAACTATAATTTTATCCATTCAAACCTGGATGCGTAGGCATTAACAAAAGCCAAACAGAGTTTATTCATTTATTCCACTGATAAGGTAATAATTCAAGATTAGAAAAGTTATTAGTGTTATACATTAATTTAACAAATTAAGATAAAAATATTATCACAGTAGTAGTAGTATCAATTATACTTGAAAAAATTTTGGATAATTAAAAATAATGACAAAAAGATAATTGGGAGAAAAAAACTGGTACAAAGCAAGAACATTTCACCAAACGCCATGATCAGCAGCAAATGCTGGCTACATTTCCTCTGAAATTACAGTGGAGAAAAGGGGATGCACAAGTCTCCTGCCATTTACCTCTGTACAGGATGCTTGAGCTTGACCAGTAGAAGAGGGAAAAGGAAGAAAAATACAGAGTGGGAATGAGAAAGAGTGGAGCTGGAACTGTTAAAATTTACAAATCTAAAGACAAGAATAGGCTAAAAATGAAAGAAGGGAAAAAGATATTCCATGCAAACGAGATCCTAAAGAGAGCAGGGATGGTTATATTATATCACAGAAAACAGACAATAAGACAAAAGCTGTCACAAGGGATAAAGGACATTACATAATGATAAAATGGTCAATTCACTAGGAAGATATAACAATTATAAATCTATATGCATCAAACAGTAAAGCTCTGAAATATATGCAGCAAACATTGACAGAAATGAAGGGAGAAGTAGACAGCAGCACAGTAATAGTATGAGATTTCAATACCCCAGTTTTAGTTATGGATAGAACAACCAAACAGAAGATCAATAAGGAAACAGAGGACTTGGACAACACTATAGACTGATTGACCTAACAGACATATATAGAATACTTCACTCAACAACAGCAGAAAACACATTTCTCAAACACACATGGACCACTCTCCATAACAGACCATATGTCAGGCCAAACAACAAATCTTAATTCAAGAAGTTTGAAATCATAAAAAGTATCTTCTCTGACCACAGTGAAATGAAACTAGAAAAAAATTGCTGACAGAAAACAGAAAAATCCACAAAATGTGGAAATTAAATAACTCATTCTTAACCAATGCATCAAAGAAGAAATCACAATGGAATTTTTAAAATATCTGGATGAAAATGAAAATACAACACACCAAACCTTATGGGATGCAGTGAGAGCAGCACTGCACTAAAAGTGAAGTCTGCAATGATAAATCCTTATACTAAATAAGAGGAAAGATCTCAAATCAGAAATATATTTTTACAGCTCCAGGAAGTAGAAAAAGAACAAACTGAAACCAAATCTGGCAAAAGAAAAGAAGTACCCAGAAAAGATTAAAGCAGAGATAAATAAAATAGACAAGAGAAAAATATAAAAATCACCAAACCAAGACTTGATTTTTGAAAAGATTAAGTTGAAAAACCCTTAGCTAAACAAAGAAAAAGAGAGACAAGATTCAACTAACATCAGACATGAGAAAGGGTACATTGCAGCTGATGTCACAGTAATTCTTTAAAAGAGTTATAAGAGAATACTATGAACAATTATATGCCAACGAATTACATAACTTAGAAGATATGGGTGAATTCCTAGACACGTATAACCTACTAAAACCTAATCATGAAGAAATAAAAGTGTGAACAGAATTATAACTGGAGAGATTCAAGCAGTAATAAAAAACTTTCAAGAAGGAAAAACTGAGGACCAGATATCTTCCCTGCCAATTTCTATGAAACATTTACAAAAGAATTAACACTAATTCTGCTAAAATCTTCCAAAGCGTGGAAGAAGGAATACTTGCAAACTCATTCTATGGAGGCTGCATGATTCTGATACAAGACCCGGAGAAAGAAACAAGAAGAAAAGAAAACTACCCAATAATATCCCTAATCTATATTGATGCAAAAACCATTAACAAAATACTAGCAACCCCAATTCAACAGCACATTCAAATAATTATATTTCATGACACAGTAGAATTTATTCCTGTAAAGAAAAGATGATTCAACATACAAAAATCAATCGATGCAATACATATTAACAGACTGAAGTAGAAAAAAACACACGATCATATCAATTAAAGCAGAAAAAGCATTCAACAATCTTTCAAAATACAAACGCTCAAAGAAGTAGGAATAGTAAACTACCTCAACATAAGAAAAGCCATACATGAAAAGCACACAGCTAACATCATACAAGGTGAAGGACTGAAAGCTACTTCTCTAAGAAGCAAAGGAAGAAGGCAAGGATGCATACTGTCTGCAGTCCTATTTAACAAAGTACTGTAAGTCTTAGCCAGAGCAACTAGACAAGAAAAAGAAATAAAAGTCATCCAAATTGGAAAAGTAAAATTATCTTGTTTTGCAGATGACAAGATCTTATATATAGGAAATCATGAAGATTGTACAAGAAAACTGTTACAACTAAAACATAATTTTAGAAAAGTTTCAGGATACAAAATCAGCACAAAAAATCAGTTGCAATTCTGTACACTAACAATGAACAGTCTGAAAAGGAAGTTAAGAAAATAATCCTATTTAATGTAGCATTAAAAAGGATGAAATACTTAGGAAAAAATTTGGCCAAGGAGGTAAAAGACTTTCACGCTGAAAACTACAAAACGTTCCTAAAAGAAATCAAAGAAGATACAAATAAATACAAAGATATCCCAAGCTCGTGAATTAGAAGACTTCATATTGTTAAAATGTCCATACTATCCAAAGTTTTCTACAGATTCAGTGGAATCTCTATCAAAATCCAAATGGCAACTTTTGCTGAAATAGAAAATAACATGCTAGAATTCGTATAGAATCTCAAGGGACCCCAAAGAGCCAAAAGACTCTAGAAAAAGAAGAAAGTTGGAGGCCTCACTTTTTTAGATTTCAAAACATATTATGAAGCAAGAGTAGTCAAGATAGTGTGATACTGGCATAAACACAGATACACAAGCCAAAGGAATGGAATAGAATGCACAGAAATAATAAGAATAAGATGGTTTGATACTGGCATACGCACACACACACATAAAAGAATGTAATAGAATAGAATGCACAGAAATAAATCCTGGCACATATGCCAAATGATATTTGACAAGGGTGACAAGACTACACAATGAAGAAAGGACAGTCTCTTCAACAAATCAGGCTGGGAAAACTGGATATCTACATGCAAAGGAAGAAACCTGGAACCTGACCTACATCAAATGTAAAGGCTTCTGTGTCCAAGGATACAATCAACAGTGAAAAGGCAAGCTCTGAGGAATGGATGTGATGAAAATGATTTAAAGAATCTCCACCTGTCAGACATGTGGGTCAATTTTGTATTTTAAAATCAATGATGGAATAAAAGACCCTCTATCACTTATGTCTGTTTCTGAACTTTCCATTCCATTTCCAATCCTTAAGATTTTGAAGTCAGTGACTCATTCATTTAGCTTCATATGTATTATAAAAAAGTGATAATGCTTTCCCTAATTGGTCTCTTTTCCAGAATTTACCAGGTATTTCTGTATATTAATATGTGACTTCCATATGAAGTTTCTTTTACTCTTGTATACAGAGAAATGTCAGTGCCTCCAGGTGGGGCCATTAAACAATCCCTGCTATCCAACAGCACTGACACCCCATCTCCAATCCATGGATGTGAAGCCCCGCCAAGGACCGCACCCAGTGGAGCCTCCTCACAAGTTCCATGTCGCTGGGTCATGGTGAGATGGAATCTAAGTGTAGATGAGAAGGACTGAGGGAGGCCCTGA